CTATGTACTGTTGTCTGCCGACACATCCTCCTGAAGACCTTTTTCATGAGCAGCTGCTAAAATAGAACATGAGCAAACCTCAGGACCCAGCAATTTCACCTGGAGGTATATCCATTTACTGACTGCACATATACAGTCATCCAAAGTCTCATCCAAATAGATTTATAGTGAACTGAAATATTGCCAAATGTCTACCAGAAGTAGAATGATATACTGACTTTTGTTCCCCCCACAGTTACACTGAAGTCCCAATGCCTATAGTTATAAATGTGACTGGATATAGGGATGTACTTTTGTTATTTTAATGAAGTCATAACAGAATCGGTGGGTCTTAAACTTCATCTCCTCTGGACAGTGTCTTAGAGAAAGATCAGAAAAAGCACAGAGACACACAGGGAGAAAGATCGTATGGAAAAGCAGATGAATTCACAAAAATTAACAGGAATGCCCAAGATCGATGGGAGCTTCTAGAAGTTCAGAGACAAAAAAGAGACCCTGTCCTAGAACTGATGTCTTAAATTTGTACTTCTAGAAATAAACTCTTGATCTTAAAATTTGCGCAATGAAATACTACAAGAAAGCAATTGGGATAAGAAAACTGTTACCACCACAAGATGAATATATAGTATATACTGATTTGATATTCACACAACTGACCACAATATTCTAGTGGCACAAGACAAAAACGAAGTATATAGTTTATATACTGCACAGTTATGTTTACATAAAGTTTAAGACCACACAAAACTAACCTGTGCTGACTGAGGTCAATGACACAATGAGACGGCACTACAGAGATTATGGTGGGTTTTCTTGGAAGGGTTTTAACTGGATAAAGGCATGCAAGAGGCTTCTGGGGTGCTGGCAATGTTGTGGTTTGGGTAAGGTGACCAGATTTTAACATTGGTAAAGCGGGACAAAAGTGGGACACCATTCATAAAATTCATATCCTGGCGAAATAGCCACATGGCTGCCAAAAACCGCATACCCTAGCTTGTCGTGCATTCTTTAAAAAAATCGGGACTTTTCTAAAACACTGCGGGTTGCAGGAAAAATAGTTAAAAATCGGGACTGTCCCGCCAAAAGTGGGCCGTCTGGTCACCCTAGGTTTGGGAGGAGGGCATCAAGTTTTGTTTTGTTTTTAAAATCTGGGTGTGGATGACACGGGTGTGTTTAATCTGTGAAAACTCATCAAGCAGCATTCATGATTTGGGCATAAAGAGAACAGCTTACAAGTTGTGCATAGAATAAAAAAACTCACCACAGATGTCTTACAGTTTTTCAGTTTATTTTCGAGTATATTTGGAGAAGCAAATTTAACATGATAGCTTCAAACCAACCATTGTACATTCACCATTTTTTTTACACAGCCATTTGAAAAAAATCTAAAAATGTGCTTAGTTATTGGAATTATATAACATTTATCAAGCACCAAGAGTGTGCTGAGAGCTGTACAGAACAAACATAGAGAAGACACAGCTCCTGCCTTCAAGGATACACTTCTCTACAGTCTCCTACTGAAAATGCCACCTTACGTTTCACACCCTTTGATTCATAAGGCATAAATAAGGAAATTTGTTGCAGTTCTCATTGTTACTTAATTAATAAATATCTAATACCCTCTTCCCCAATTATGTCAACAATTACTAATATCTTTGCCTTTACATACAAATTTCCATAGTACAATATATAGTATATACTGATTTGATATTCACACAACTGACCACAATATTCTTGCACATGGTTATAATATGAAGCATGTTGAATTTCAACATTTACAATTTTTATACCACTTAACAGCAACGTGTACTGCTGGAAGATGGAAGAGCTTTTTTTCCCCCCCTTAAAACAAGAAAAGATGTTAGGCTGCTGTTCTTATTTTGATACTGTAAACAAAAATAGCACTACCTTGATTTCATAAGGGCATCAGAACTTATGGCACAGATACTCAGAACAGTGATTCATAGCAACTCTATGAAACTAGACTTGCCATTAGTAATCACATAGCTGCATGCTCTAAACTAGTAACAGTTCATGGAGTGGGTGGCGTTAATTATGCTTTACTCGACTATCTCTGCAGTCTAAAGAAGGAGGTGCCGGTATAAAATGCCTGAAAACTTGGAACTGGGGACAATTTCACTTCCCCGCAAGGATCAGTTCCAACCAAATTCAGGTTAGAGATGAGGATGAAATTATGTTGAATCTAACCACTGGCTAAGGACATCTGAATTCAAAATAGTCCCTTAAAAGTAACACTGAAGTATTGAATGGTCCGATGTCTGGATTGTGTTCTGATAGAATGGTTTTGGGGAGGAAAAAGAACATGAGTATTATTTTAAAACATAAGAAAAATGAAGTAAATCTTGATAATGAAGTGACTGCAGACTGAAGCATACGGAATTCTGTAAAATGTCCAGGGGGGATGGTGAAGGGTGCTACCTAAGGGAGCAGAGAGACCCATTTCATATTTTACCTGTGGGGCCTCAGCCGGAGACGAGGGATACATTTTCGAAGGATGCGAGGTGTTTATCTCCCAGCCAGACTCTGGTCTTGCCCAGCTCTACAAAGAGAGGAGCTCGGGGGCGCCTGGGGTCCAGGCAAAGAAGATCATGACAAAGCTAGGATCCACGGAGAGAAAAGATCCAACTGTGGACAACCCCTTCTCTAGATCCAAGACCCCAAGCGCCCATCCAGTCCCAGCCTGGACAAGGTCGGTAACTTCAGCCCCAGCCTGGATGCTTTCAAGCCGAGGGTGACCTCTTTCCAGAGGCGAGCACCTTGCTTTGAACCCTTCATTGTCTGGTTCTCTTAGGGGCATTGCTAGGTTATGGACATTTCCATATGTTCAATGGGGCCAAGTTACATTTTAAAGCTACACTGAATTTACCTAACTTCTTTCCTCAGATATGAGAAGGGCAGAAGACAATTATAGAAAAAAGTTCACTTAGACACGTGGAGTGGGATTTCTAGTCACCTCTCCCCTCGGTTGCTAGGCATGTGATCCAGTGGGGGCCCATTAGGAACAGATTCACCTGAAGGCAGTGGCAAAAGTGGTTTGGTCCAGGCTCCATGGTTCTACCGGTGAAATGGAGGCGTCTGGTTGGGATTTCACAAGATTGTTCGTATCCTGAGCAAGTATATTTCCACTTCTGCTAATCACAAAGCAAGAGGTAAGGAAGTACCAATCTCTGATGCTCTCTCACCTTAATGTGTAGGCAAATGGGCGGTGGAAGTAGGATCTGAGAGAGCATCACACTGACTTGGGGGAATTTGGGTTGGCAACTCCCAAGGGCAGTAAGCTAGTGTCCCCTTTGAGGGGACAGAAGCAACCTTATTGAATGTAAGGTCCCCAGCTCAAAACAGAACACCAGAAGCTGCAGATTCTGACAATAGACAGTAAAATACATATAGAAATAACAGGTATACACATTCAGTTTTTTAATGATAAATCCTCACTTTCCATACTAAGGTTTGTTTCAATCACTAATTGGAAACCCATACATAGTCATGGCAATAATAGATAAAATGAAGATGAAAGTATCCATCCGTTTGCTAACATCATAAAATTTCATGACACCCCAGAATTAAGACACAGAAAGCAAAGCGTTATTTGATAGTTTTTATACTGAACGTTGGACTCCTATTGCTTTAAAAAAACATAAGATGCTTCCTAAACCTGTCTCACAGGAACTTTTAACATCCAAAGCGCTAGTTCTTAATATCCACACTTATTTATACGTCACCTTGTTCTTAAAGCTAGAAGCCCTGATGGCACAGTGGTTAAGCATTCAGCTGCTAACCAAAGAGCCCGTGGTCTGAACCCACAGCAGCTCCATGAGAGACAAATAATGGCAGTCTGCATCTGTAAAGGCTACGGCCTTGGGAACCCTGCTGGCTTATCAGAAGTTGGTAGCCATTCCAGGGCAATGGGTTTAGTTTGGTTTGGTTTATTCTTAAAATAATTTAAGGTAGCTAGTTTCCACCAGCCATTTTCCTCCCTTAAACCTGGAACAAGACATTAGCACCAGCACCATTCAGTGGGTAGAAACTGAGATCAAAGTCTGATGAAAGTACAACTGCTTCCCTTATACTCTCAAACAATTTAACAGAAAAGACAATATAATGGAGCTCAGATATTTAGATAGACTTACAGATAGATAAATGGTTAAATAGCTTAAATTTTTGCACTCAAAACTCAGGAGTATATGCTTGATATGAAAGCAAGGTGCCTTCATTATATTATTGGATCAGTTTCAACATACTTTTAAAGCCATGGGAAATGGCTGTCATTAGTGGTGCACAGAAACCATGGTTTATGGTTAGAAAGTCAACATTTCACCATCGTCTCTACTCTTCAAGGCACAAGGACAAGTTCCAAACTCTTCAACTCATCTGTGAGAAGCAGAGCATCTGGTACCAAATAGACAACCAAGAAGTGGTGCCACACGCTAAAGCAGAATGGGAGATCCTTTGGGCATAGCCATGGTTTTCCAATACTGGCTTTACATGGTTAGCAAGCAGGACCTCAGCCCCTTGGGGATGACAAGGGGAAGGTCTCCTGGCCTGAATATGTTGGCTCATTAAGCAGAGAGAACACACCCTTCATGTCAAGCCTGATTCAGCAGTCTAAGTCCTCCCTCCCACGGGCACAAGGAAGAAGGTCCAGGATGGTACCAGGAAGCTCTGCAGTGAGGACTATAATAACGAGGACAGAAGGGCAGAGTGAAAAGTCTATAGCCCTTGTTAAAAGTCAGCAGAGAAGATACATCTCTTTGGGATACAACTCTACTACTTGACCACCAACAATGGTCCAAGAGCAGTCAGGAAAGCAGAAACACTTGCTTCTCATGTTGCTAGCTCTCTTAGCTTTCCCCAAAGGAGCATGTATTCAGTACATTCTGTGTATCCTATTGCCCACCATAAAACTTCATCAAAACAGAGTCCAGTTACTCCTCCCTCCCCCACCCCACCCACCCCACCCACACACCTTTTTGGGGGGCTTGGAATTAGTTTTGTATCTATGGTAGTCCATTACATTCTTTTGGTAGGAAAAAAAAAAGCATTGCACTTCTAAAAATGCATCCAAGTAGCTGAATTAACGCTAGTAAGTAGGTAGATTTCTCCATAGGAAGTATACTTCCTGCAGACCATCTTCAGTATTTGCAGAGAAGACTCTGAGACTTCAGCTCCAGTTCAACAAATCGTAATGACTTTTGCTGCAGGACGTTACACCACACCTGAGCCGTCCCGACCCTGTGTCCATCCCCTCAGGATTTCATGGTGCAGATGGGCACAACAATGACCAGGATGACCGTGCAGGCAGCAGCTGCAATGAGAGCTGCTATCTTGCAGACCTTGGCTCGTCTGTATTCAGCTTCCTTACGCTTTAGTAATGAGTCGTAGCCTGGAGTATAAATATCTTCCATCCAATATTCTAAGTTGTTTGGATTTAAAGATTCTTGAGCCTAAAAGTGAAAAGATGTTAGAAAGATGGTGAAGACAGGCAACCACGTCAAAGAGGTTCTGACAGTTGTCAGTCCAGACGCACTTAAGAATGGGCTGCCGCTGGTTGTTAGCGATGAGCATGCGAAATGATACAACATTGCCCGCAAGCCCAGTGCCTGAGACAGGCTCCCAAGGACTTGGGCTCCCACCGATCACAGATTGTCTGGTCCCCTCCATTCCTACAGATGTCATGGTGCTTTTGACATAGGGAAACACGCGGGTCTTCTATCTGTAAGCAAGCAAATGGGGCCAAGACAAACAAGGGCACACAATCAAAAGAGAAGACTTGCACCTAATTCCCAGTCAAAAGTTGAAAGGCCCTAGTGGAACCTTATCAACTTTTGAATCAGGCTGGTCCCACTGTAAGGGGAGCAGGGAAACCCACTGAACAAAGATTCTCTGCCAACAGGTGTGAGTGGCATCTGCTTAAGCAAGGTGATCATCCAGCTCTGATTCGTTTCCCAGCTCCTTGGAAACACTTCCAGCGAGAACCATCAAGATTAGCAGCTCAAACAAAATGTAAAATATTTTCATTTCAGACATTTGTCTGAGCCAGTCAGAACACTGCTCAAAGTCAAAGTCCGCAGATGCACCTGGGATCACCCCAGCACCGGTGGCTTGCCTTGGCTGGGATTCGAGGCTTGGAGCAGCTTCCCCAAAGAGAAGCCACTGCTATTTTTCTTCCAATCACCGAGATTAATGAGCTGTCTGCAGGAGAAATATCATATTTAACTTAGATTGCCCATCAACTCCATTCCACAGTTATGGTCATAATATATTTCCACATAGACAATGTTCTCCTTTTATGTCAAGCACTTAATAATATCATTGTCACACAAAAGCAACAATACATTGCAATTTCAAATGAGGTCACCTAAATCTTTGAAAAGCATACAATATATCCATTTTGAAATGGTTCTTGGATTACTTAATGCTCATAAACATGGGCTGATTAAAAACCACAAAGACACAGCAAAAAGATCAATCAACGCCCCAATTCTTCAAAACTAAAAAAACCAATCATACCAGGCTATTGGTGAAATATTGATTGTTATAATGTGCTTGCCCTTTTAGATCTACTCTTTATATTTGTTGCCCCAGGCTTGGTTGATGCCCCATGGATCTCCACCATGCACCTCTCCTTTGTTTCCCAGCTGAGTTGACAGAGGCGTTGCAAGGAGGGAGGTTGAGGTGTTTATTTCTCCAGCCCTCTCCCTACTGGGCTGTGGTTTGACAATGGCTCGGGTCCCATGGGTCTTAGTGGGTTTCAGAAACAGCTCCCTTCCCAAGATCCAGGGGGCAGCTGAAGATTCCCACTGACGCGAATTCTTGGGCATGTCCCCAGTTCTTGATGGTCCCCTAGACCCTGCCCATGCCCCTCTGAACAGGCCCTTCACTGAGTCACTTCTAGGAGCCCTTGGAGTGCCATCTGTTTCCTGATGGACTGCCGACAACCCACATGCCAACCCACATGCCAGGGACCCGTCTGACCTCCTGATTGCTTTTCTGTGGCTAATGGTACAGGGGTCTGTAGACGAGGGCTTGCAAGCTACATCCAGCCTGTTTCCTGCATTTGCACACTCTTAAAAGAACTTTAAAAAATGTTTTTAAATGGTTGGGGAAAATCAAAAGAAAAACAATAACATTTTATGACAACTGAAAATTACATGAAATTCAAGTGACAGTACCCATAAATGAAGTTTCATGGGAGCACAGCCAAGCCCATTTGTTCACGGCCCGTCCAGTGCTACTTTCCTCTGCCCAGGCAGCAACAAGTAGTTGCTACAGAGCCTGTGTGACCCACAAAGTCTAACTATTTACTACTTGGCCCTTGGCAGGAAGTATTCTAGTATATATCACACAAAATGCTGCAATGGGAAGGGAAAATGGGACTCGCTAGGTCACTGAAATTTCCCCAGGTCCTTTCCTCCCCAAGGCACGGTGTTCTAAGACTGTCATCAAATGTGTGATGTGACCTGGAGTGTGGACATGAGCGATGGCTACCCAGGACATCCATCAGGGGAATTAGGAACCCTCAATTCTAGAAGAAGCCTGCAAATGCAGGCTACCCTGATCAACCCGTAGTCTTTGCAGCCAGAAACTCCTGCTCCAGCATCTTCAGGCAGGGTCCTAGAACCCCTGTTCTTTCTTGGGCTGCCCAGAGCAGTTGTGCTACTACCAGGTTCTGCTGTTAAAAAAAACTGGTCTTTAGGCTTGAGCTATATTCCCACTTCTGAACCTCTGCCCTCCCTGGAGAGAACAGTTTGCTCCCCTTGGCACAAGAGGCCCTCAGCAATTTAATGGACACTGATAATTTAAGGCAGGCACACTGATGGCATATTGCTTACATGTTGGACTGCTAACTGCAAGGTTGGCAGTTCAAAACCACCCACCATTACTTGTGAGAAAGATAAGGCTTTCTACTTTCATAAAGAGTTCCAGTCTCAGAAGCCCACAGGGGTATTTCTACGCTGTCCTATAGAGTCCTTAGGGGTTGGCAATGGCAGTGAGTTTCATTGAGAGACAAGCCCAAGATGGGTGCAATTTACTAGGAAATTTGCCTGCAGGGTTCTGTCATGTGTCCATAAAAGTGGGGTTCAGGTAGAGGACTAGCCAGGACTAGCACCCTCTCAGTCCTGGGCCCTTAAAGCGAAGCTTTGGCCCTGGGGAAAGAAACAACCTCCCCTTCTCTCTACATGCCCACTGCCAGCCCAGAAGGTAAACAGTGTGTAACCGACATCTCACATCTTGTGCCTTGTTCCTGCCAGCTCTGATGAAAGGAAATTGGCTTCCATTCATAGCTATACACACTTCATGGGCTGGGATTCAGCCTGTGAAATAAACCATTTTTAATTAGTTTTTTTTTTTTTAATAACTGCAGGCTCTAATGGCACCAAGTAGCAGAGAACGTGGTAATTCCATGGTTTCGAGGGACACAGGTAGTGTTTGCAGATGCTAATTGGGCCTATCCAAACACTGGGGATCAAA